GGATCATAGAGTTTTTTTAGTGAATGGAATTTTTATCATTGAGATATTCGCGGTGTAAAGAAGGCTACCTTAATGAAAAGGCCAATAATAATCGCTGTTTTCTGAATGCAGTCATTATTTCAGTCCTTTTCTACAGTATCGGATTACAGAAGGCCGATCTGACTGGCGGTTATGACTTTTGAAGGGCCTATCATAGTGAAGCGTCATGCAATTTGTGATTGGTCCATTAAAAGTTGGCAGTCGTAACGGCCTTCTAACAATTGACAGTTTGATACGGGCTTAAAGTGGATCGATCAATTGAAACAAATGGTTTGTTCTCTTTAGCTATACCGCTAAAAAGGAAACAAAACCGAAATTGGTTGATTCGTTGAAATCCAATCCCTAATACAGGCTTCAAGTCCACGTTATTTCATTCATTTGATCGAAAAGTGAGTTCAGAATAAATAGTCTGGATGAAGATAAAGATGATCTTTAGATAATTTTATCTACATACCGGCAAGCACTGAACCGCTTATTACTTAAAAGCGCTCCTCTATTCCGGGTGGAGACATTAGAAAGTCATCGGGATCGCTTTGATAGCTCAACGAAATATATCGCACCATTTCCCGTTGTATAGTCGGCGTCCGCTGTTAAGAGTATCCATTCGCAACGTCCGCGATGTCCCACAATGTCCCCGAGAAATCTCGGCTCGCGAGTCACCCCTCGCGCCCGATTATTCCTCGTTTCATCCCTTCGGGGGAAGAGGCGGAGATAATTGATGATGGTAGCTGGTTTTCGCGGGACATTATATCGCAGTTACGAGCTTCCAGCTCTATCCCCACTTTCGCTCGTCCACGAATGCGCAATGTGCGAACAACACGATTGCGTCGCTCCGCTCCTCCTGCCGCCATTGGGGGGAGAGAGGGAACACTCTCCGTGGAGGTGGTTCCCCCACCCCCTTAGTCGCTGCCCACGTGACCCCCGGGCCTCCCCAGGGTTAGACAAACGACGGCCAATTTACGAGCAATAGGAAAAACTTCTTAAAACTCGGATTAAAATAAGCGGAAGGAGAGGAACCCCTTCCCATCTTACCCTCTCTGAATTATCCCGGGGATACATAGGGAGGGTTTATTTTATTTCTGAGGCTCATGCATAAGCAGGGAGGGACCGAAAAGAGGCGAATAGGCCTTGCGCTTTTATTATTATCTCCTCCCTTTCCCATCCCGTGAACGAGTATCGTTATTCGTACAGTGATATGAATACAGTCACTCTAAAGCCCGTGTTACGCACTGTGCGAGCGCAGATTAGATTCGCGCTGGGAATTGTTGACCGGCCAATCAGATCGAAGTAGCCGAAGATCCATTAGCCGGTCAATGATGCAGACCGAATCCAATCCAGATATGTAGTGCGACACGCTTTTAATTTATTCCACTTTCCGAATTATCTGCCGTCGTCGTCGATGATTATCGATGATTATCGATGATAATTCGATAATTCGTTTGAGGGGGTTCTAAAGAGCACCAATTACCGACATTTTTTTCTTTAAAGGTATTATATTATAATACTTTTATGTAATTATTATATATTTTATATAACTTTATATATTAAAAGACTTTTACATGGCTTCACAGAATTGTAAAATTCTTTTATACAGTTAACTCATTTCGAACTGTAAAGATTTTGAGAGATCCAAGTGCCGTTTTAGGTTAATTGGGATCCAAGGAAACACATAAAAAGTAATTAAGTTTAAGTTAAAGGTTAACTTACTTATTGAATTGAGTTAAAAGTGATTAACTTCTAACTGAACTCTTTTGAAAGTTATTACCCAACGCTGCTGAAAAACATGGTGAAAGGATTCATATGAAAGTAGCTATGATATTCTCTCCGTGTATCAATGAATTGTATACAAGTGACTCCCGGGTATCGTAAAAACGCTTCGTTGCCGACTTCTGGCTGGTCGTGTAAATGTATCAGATCGCTCATTTGTGCCATCGCTGTCCTTAATGGCTGAATTAAGCATTATTCTAACAACTCGTATTACGAGAATTTACGTCCCGCGAAAAATCCGATGTATGGGCCGTAGGTCACCGCTGTATCGATTCTCTGCGCGACCGAATTACGGCCTTTTTACCTATTCGTGGCGGCCATAAAAAGCGTTCGAAGCGCAGTCGACTCACACGTGGAGCTTTTTAATTAAAGTCGGTAATTGAATGACGGTCGTTTCGCGCGCGTGTGCCTCGACCTATCGTTGCACCTGAATAGAACGATAACGATTCTCCCGAGGGACATAATCCGGGAATAAATCCGTGTTAACGTGATTACAATTTTCAGAGATGCGCGCCTGATTTATCCATCAGACTACATCGGCGGACGTTCTACCGCGACATAACCTTAAGAAACGTATATTTGTTTCATTCTAAAGACAAAAAGAACAATCTATTAGGTATACAAATGAATTCTCTGCCCTAATATTAAATTATCAATTATTTAAGCAGAAAGTTTTTGCCGCCAACTTTAGGGCTGTGTAATACCGATACAATAAACCGGAATATACTGACATAACCTCAAACAATTCACCGTGAGCGCAGTAAGCAGAATGGCGTCTGACAAGTAACACATCTGTTTGCTCTTCGCATTTCGGTTAAAAAAAGAAACACGTCCGAGACGATGACTTGTGAGGGGAAGGTCTTCTAGCGCGTGTAAAAAATGACTTTCACGGGACCGGTCATTCTACTGCACGGCGAAAGCAACCAAAGATATTTTTGATTCGTTGAGCTGGGATTTGCGTCGAAAAACCTGGATTTACAAAGCCTTTTCGAACGACATCGTCGAAGAACATGTGTGTTATTTCGGCGGCGGTTCACGTCATTGGCACCGCGGAAGGAGAGCGAGCGAGCGGGGGATTCCCGAGAACAATAACGGCGCCCCGGGGACGACCCGGGGTAACGCGATTACACGGCGCGGCACTGGCGTGGCACGGCGCTCGCCCGGCGGTTCACCCAGCTTGATTTATCCGTGTAGCCGCACGTTATTGCATTAGCAGCCCGTCCCGACGGCGATGCTGCACCCCAGCCAGGCCAAGCTGCCTTCTCCTCCTCACCCCTTTCTCCTCCGCGATCGCGACGCAAGAAGTTGTCCGGCGTCTGTCCACCCGGCCGTGAATCATCTCCGAGAGTTATATCCTTCGCGCCGCTGCCAGGACGCGCGATCTATAATTTCCTCCGCCGCCGCGGTTGATCAGCGATCCTGGCGTGTCTCGATGTTTCCTAAATTTCCGGAGGTTAATACCGCTTAGTTCGAAAACTGTGCGGCCGAGGCCCACTCGCGGAAGCGACGTGGAGTTGTCTTAACGAGACTCGTTCGTAGCTTTCCTCGGGGAAAAAAAAATGTTACAATTGATTCAATATCAGGGCCGAGAATTAATTTGTTTGCCTAATATAATCATATATAATCATTTTTTCCCGGGCATTGATTTCAGCCTTAAATATGCGCTTGCCTACTTAGAGAGAGAAGAAGAGAGAGAGAGAGTTGTGGAAATCGTTGACGATAACTTTACATTAATGTCGCCTGAATAGTCATTGGTGCTCCCCGCCAGGCTATAAGTAGACCTCTCGCGATCTGAGAGACTGCAGGTCGCACGAGTTTTGCATCACAGTTCTTCGACACGGAGCGCGCTGATCGAAATACAAGCGAGATCCTGTATACATTATGTATGTTACACGTTTTTTTTTCACCACTTTTCACTTTATACACACTTCGATACACCTTTGTACTCCTCAGACGCTTCAGGCACACGTCGTAAATGAGAGGATGCACTTCTCATACTTCGTACACGGCTAAATCGACAGTAGCGACAATCCGCTCGAAAGTGATACATCATGTCGGTTTGAATATACAATTTTGAAATCGTTTTGGAAACTATAAATTCTCGAGAGACGTTCGAACGCATTTTGCATACACGAGTATGTCTTATAAATCTTGAAATATAATCCGTACATCTATATATTCATATCCATATATACGTTCTTCATATACATCTACATGTAATTTTCACTATACATCTATTATATCAGTACGTAGACAAATATCCAAGATCCTCGAGACACACTCGAAATTCTCAGGATTTCCCAAGTCCTTTAGAAATCCTCGAATATGTCGAATGATATTCAAAGCAACTCGAATTCCTGGACACGACTGAATTGTTTGGAAACGGTTCTTCCGAAATAGAGACTTGAATGCTCTTCGCCAGATCAGATCTCGCTCCGTCGAACGATTCAAGAGAAGACTCTAATTAGTCGGAAAAAATCTCGGTTCGTATAACTGATTTTCTGTTGTTGGGGACCAAACGAAAACTAGATTGAAGAAAGCAAAAGATTCTATTCAGTCAATTGTTCTCTCACTTTCAACCGAGTTTTAATGCAGCTGAATGTCTAGACGAATGTTCTCAATTGCGGTAGAGATATCTTTTCTCACCGCCGATTTTCGTCTGATTACTATTCTGTTACACGAACTGATTTTTATCTGTGCACACTGAGAAAAAAACGTGATATTCATAATTGTAATCGCAAAAGTGAGAGAATTATAGTCAGCAGAACCATTTTTTAAAGTAAATGTTATAGTGTCAACGATAATAATCAGTGTTTGCCTTAGATGATTTCAGATTCATCTAGATGAAGATGAGATGAGGGTGCGTTTATCTAGATTAAAGATAACTAGCGCTACTTATTTAGATAATTTGTTTGACGATGTTGTTTTCATGAGAGGCTTGTAAAAATTGATAAAAATAATCGAATTTCTCTCAGTGTAAAATTAGAGTTTCTCGCTCATGGAAAATGCGGAGGTTCGCTCGCGTGCAAAGTATCTCGGTGTCGGATTGCACGATTAGTCCTGTCGATTCCCGGTCTCTCACTGGCGTCGTCTAAGTCGGACGACCTCTTCGACGTGCGTACTCACCGTCGCCTCATTTCCGTCCCGTTCATTCTCGTTGAGCCCTCCGTTATCCGAGACGACGACGCGATGCCTTACGCCGGCCTGTTAAGCCCCAAGGCTTCCTGATGCCGTCTTGCCTTCAATCTCAGGTCGGCGATACTGCTGTTTTTGGAACGGGCTGCTGCGGCGGCCAACGACGCCGCCAAGCTCAGCGGATGAGGATGGTGGCCAGTCGACGGCGCGGCCGGCGGCGGCAGGCAGAAAAGACCGCCGGCTGCTGCGTAGTGCAGCACCGCCGGGTCGAAGGCCGATCCAACGTTCGTTCCTGTCCCCTGCATCGGCGGCGGATGCAGCCTGAGAGCCGGCAGGTAAGGCGCTACTCGGCACGGTTCCAGAGTAGTCGGCGGGCTCCGTGGCGCCAACACCATGCTCCCGGCGACGCCTGGAACGTATAATCCTATGAGCGAGCGGAATACTTACGTCGGAAGAAACTTTCGGTGCCGGCCGTATTTTTTCTATCGCCGTTCTAAGGATGATTTTTCCTATGGATTTCTATTGATTGGGAATCTTCTTTCTATACGGAATTTGGAAATCTCTCAGACGTTAAATATAATACGTTAGTTTACCACGAAGAAGGTTCGTGAAAATCCCTGCGGCAAATTTACAATATCGTATACCTTTGTGCAGCTGGCTCTCATGCTTACGGCACTTGGCGCGTCGGTTCTGGAACCAGACCTGCACTCGCGCCTCGCTGAGACCGAGTCGTTGGCTCAGCTCCTCCCTCATAAACGCGTCGGGGTAGTGCGTCTCGTCGAACAGTCTCTCGAGCTCGGCCAGTTGCTCAATGGTGAAGTTCGTCCGCGATCTTCTCTGCTTGCCGTTTCCGTTCGCATTGCCTCGACAACTCGATCCTGGAGAGTTAATCAAGCAATGCACGAAAACAATTCTTATACATTGAGAGAAATTCAATTATGCTAATTATATTCGAATTTTTCAATTATAGTCATTCATCTTTCATCAGATATTTCATTTAATTTTCGAGATATTCGGCTTGTTTGAAATTTAACAGCTTGTACGGTATGTTTTTACAAATTAAATAGTATGTTAGGTAGTTCTTCAAATTGCACGATGTCTCCGGCACATTATTGTATGCTTGGACATAACAGTTGGGGAATTAATATCGTTATAGTTAGAAAAAGATATTTGGAAATCAATTCCATGTTATTGGGTGAAAATTCCTCCGATCGTCGCAGCGAAGGCGCTGAATAAATTCACAAATGTCCCGCAATAACGAACGTATTGCAGGAAATATCTCCAGCAAAATGGGTATCCGAGTGTTATGAATCATCGTCGTAAATACAATGGAGCGAGAAGGAAGTCGCGACGATTAATTCGTAGGGACAAATGCGAAGCCGAGCGAACAATAGCCGACGTGCCATCGCCAAATTGATCTCCGCGAGTCGTTCACAGCTCATTTCTCCCAGTCTGGGCGCCATCAGCATATATCTCTCGCCACCTTATGAGAATCCTATTTAAATCGAACGTCAGACGGAGGGAGGAGGGTGAACTTAATTGGATGACATTAGACAAGCGCGTCTCCCGAACGGCGTCGAGAGGCGTGAATCGAAGATCGTACTCGCTGGAGGAAACGCATATGCATCTGGAAGACGTACAGTTGTAGTGTCAGGATTAAACATGTTTATGGACCCTTTTTTTTCTCGCTTGACAGTTCATCTGTATTAAAATTTGACTAACTGAGAGTAATCTCCTGCGGAAATCTTTCGGTTCCGGCAATTGAGTTTTCATCTAGTCTTTGGACAACGGAAAATTTCGTTGCACTGACGGAGTTGTTTTTCCTCCATGTAGAGAAATCTACTCGGGCAAGAAGAATCATAAGTTATCAGCGGGCGCGTAGATTACGAATATCGGGAGCATTGACAAGGAGGAGCTTTACGCGCCAGGAAGATCCTATTGGACAGATGCAGAAAGGCGAAGAAGAGTGATTAAGGTGAGAAAGAGAGAGAGAGAGAGAGAGAGAGAGAGAATCTAACTGCGGTAGGTGGGGGATGACTAACAACCCGGTATAAGATTTTCTCCCTCCTTCTCTCTCTCTGCAGCTCGTCACTTTGCTAAATTATATAAATCACATCCCCTTCGTCAAGGGCTCTTATGCGAGACACTTAATCCGCCACCTCTGTCTCCTTTACCCCTCGTTGTCATCCCCACCTCACATCGGGCGCTCCTCGCCTCCTGTCGGCAACACCTCGAAGAACCTCGTAACATCGTAGTTACTTTACATTAAACGCCCATTAATTAAATCATATGGCTGTTAATTATCCAGGAGCGCTTTCCTAACTCGCGGTGATGCCTGTGGCCGCTTCGTACGACAGGCTGAGAACGTTTTTTAGCCCGGAGTGTCCTGTCGTTTTCTTTTCCTATCCTATCCTTTTTACTCGAGCGTTTACGAAATTAATACATATATAATATATATAATTGTAGTTTTTTTATTTCAAACGTATCGCAATACCAATTGTTTTATTATATAAATAAAGAAATAATTTTGTCTAAAAATACGTTTTATAGAAAAATTATACATATATATATGATTATTTTTGTAATATTCTGGGAATATTACGCACTTCTAGGGATTCGAGCAGCGCTCCCGGCAACGATACTCCGGTACACATTCTGCCGACGATTTAGCGTCACGTTCGCGCCCATCGGTCTTCAGTCGCGCGTGTTTTCCTGCGATCGCTCGTAAGTGTTGGTGCTTGACCGCTAGTCAAAGGCCCGTGCGCGCTTCGTGTATTTATGGCACTTGGGGCGCGAGTTTTCTTGAAGTATGATAGCGGAGGGTGCCGCTACTTTAGGAAAAATGGGAAAGCCGTCCGTCCTTCGTATTTACGAAGCCGAACTACTCGCCAAAACGCACGATTTTCTCTCTCGTACGGGCGGGTCGTATAAATCGTAGTTGTAAAGTATTCGCGGCTTTACACCCGGATAAATATATGCGGCGGACATATCGAGGAAATGTGTACAACACGATTATACCCCGAGTCATTCAGAAAACGAAGAAGCTTGTACGAGTTGTAAGCCAATAAAACTGATGAGAAACTAGCTAGCTGGAGAATTACCGGCCAGTTAGTACTGGTTAGAAACTGGTTTGTATCAGTTCCCGATCATTCGTGTGACAAAAGGTTAAATTCGGTACGCCCGGCGTAGGAAGCGATTCTTAGGTCCTGCCGAGCCTTTCGTCCTTACGTATTCACGGCGCCGTATGCAGCGGAGCCCACGACGACGCTTTTATACGCCTAATGGCGTACGATATCTCGATAACTCGCTTTCGGAGGGAGAAAAATAGTAATAGCCAAGCCGGGGCTTAACTGGATCAGGCCAAGAGGGCAGCGCTCTTAGTAATCGAATTAGTGACCCCTCGCGTCCGAGTGTGATTGCTTTGGGTTTTCCAACAGGCGGAGGGTTCTTCCCGCCCGTCGCGGAATTCTTCCCTTTCTTTCTCTTTCGCAAGAGAGCCGTCTGAAGTATCGGTTAAGGAGTGTCGGTGGAGGGGGTGAAAATTACGATTTCGCACCTCGGACCGGGACGCTCGAACGAATACGTAGTTTTAACAAGGAAATCTAAAGGACTCGGGGAATTGTTCCTCTGAACTTACTTCGCGTCGACAACAGAAGACTGAGCGAAACTCACCGTGACCGACGATACTCGATAAGTTTTCGTCGTCTCTGCACACAACGAGGAATAAACGACCGGCACGGTTAATGACCACGCGTATGCTTCGTGCGAGGCAAGGAGGGGTAGTTTTAAACCACCGTGAACATATGAACGCGCTGCTAAATTGGATTACGGCGGATATGATTAAAGCGCTATACGCGCGATGCCGCGCACACTGCGTGGTAGATTGGCTACCGACGGACGAGTCCCATCGTTGCTATCGTCCGTGAGAAACGAATTATACTTGGCGCGACCAAGTTGCGTCCGTTCCTTGCGTATACATACTTTGTTCCGTTTCGCTCGAGAAGATCCGAATAATTGATAGGATGCTCTTCTCTGATTCCCATTTACGGCGTTTTGTTCGTTAGATAAACGATAGAATATTTTGCGCTACTTTTACAACGATAATCAATCGATCCAGACGATGACGCGTATCCGCTGGCGAGCGAGCTCTTCTTCTCCGCTCGTGGATATTTATGATTTTACTTTCGCGGCCATGGTGGCTGCCGGCCCGGCAGATTGCTTTTTGATTTGCGCTTAATCGGAAAAAGTTATGGGCCCTCGAGAGATGGGCGCTGCGCATCTCCCGTTTAGGGGGCGTACACACAACTAACGCGGCGGGCCGCATATTAAACCATAAATTCATGGTTCACGCTCTCTCTCTCTCTCTCTGCCCGTTCGCGCTACGTTCGAGTTATTGCGGGGGGAAACATGCGTGGCGTTACCTCAACGCCGCGCTCCCTACTTTTTATAACGCGATCGCCGTTCAATCTCGTTCTCCGTTTCGTCCGTCCGTTCAATTCCATGCAAGTTGTTCACGCATGCGGCGGTTCTGCACCGGCCGATTGGTTGTTCAATCCGCTCATTGAAAACTTAATTTGTAAGATTGGTGGACACTTAGTGGAACGAGACCATTCGCACGTCTAATTGTCTTTTCAAAAGCGAGATTTCTCATCAGCGGAGATTTCCGAAGAGAAGAAACGACGAAAATTGTTATTTAGACTTTTCAAGGTAGAAAAAAAGAAATAATACGAAATTTGCAGGGTTTAAAGAGAAACATCTGGCTCCAGCGTAGAAGTCATTTCAAAGTCAACTTGAAATTTTTTAATAAAAACCCCTATTTTCGACTCGAGAAATGAAAAGAGCGGGAGATTCTCTCATGTCAAATTGACCCGTAATGGTTATTTCGAGGTCAAATTAATTTTTCAATAATAATTCTTTAGGAAAGCAGTTTGGAGGAAAAGGTTAATGCGAAATTAGTAGGGTTTAAAAAGGGACAGCTGACTAAAAATTCGCGAATAAAAGTTAATTATGTTACGCTAAGAATCGATACATTTAGGAAGGAGCGTATTCCTCGAATTAATAGCATTTTCCCTGGCAGGAATTTTCTCCGGAAAAACAGTAAGGGAGTTGACGTAATTTCGTCTTTCAGTGCTCGGCGGAACAAGCGTTATCGAAGATGACTCGACTTCGATGAGCAGAATTGCGGGTCGCCGATCGTTACGTTGCGAGCGGTCAGCTATTCCCAATAACTTCTGAGCTTTATTGGACGATGACTTGAATTATAAACGAAGATCCAAGTCCCCTATAGCTGTTGCGACTTCGCCCCGACGGTTCCTGACCTTCGTACACTACTCGTTCGCGCAGCAATCGCAAACGAGTGTAACCCTAAAGGGAATCCGTGTGGTGAGATCGAGATTGGCAACATCATCGTGAGTTGTGGACTGTGACTTCCGGGCCAAACTTCGCTTTTAATTTCTCGTCGAAGACTAACGTAATTTTTTAGAGATGGAAGAGATTATCAGTCTCGATAATATGAACGACTTAATGTCCACGTGATGTTTTACACCGAGGAAAAATATTTAAAAGATAAAAAAATACTTGTTTCATAAATAACATATTTGTTTAAATCTCAATTCTTTTATTTAAATAGAATAAATGATTGCTTTCATGTAGAGAAGCCAATATACGAAAACCAAAAATATTTCTATTCACAAAATCATAGTAACGCATGCGTACTATCGATGTCGGTAAAAACTTATGCGCCGGTCTAATATTTTTTAGATGTTTTGTTCTCAGTGTACGATCGTGTTTACATAGATCGTGACGTACAAAAGTATTAAAGTAAGATGATCGAATAATATTTTTTACGAAATATATAACTTACGAAATTGCACAAATTTTATTTCAAGGTAATTTTTCTTTCTATTAAATAATAGAGTTTTCGCCGAATGAGACAATAAAATGTTCACTCAAACAAATAATATTTCGTACAAATATATGTTGTCCTATGAAAGAAATTTCAGTCGAATAAATATAAATACTAAGAAATGAAGAAATCTCTATGTATGCACATTGCTATTTTTGGGATGAAAACTAGGAGAAGATACAGTTAAGTTACTCAAAAATGGCTATAATTTCAGTAGAGAAAATAATTTCAGCGAGATTTCTCTCAGCGCTGGATTTCATTTTAGCGATATGTAAATCACGCGGTACACTCACCCTTAGCAGAGTCCTCTTGACACTGGCCGCTTGACCTTGAGATCTGTGAAGACACTTTGACGTCATTGGATGTGGTCTTGCTGTCACTCGAATTTTGACTTTTCAATTCGACGCAGTTCTCCGGACTGGGCGATCGATCCTTCGATATGGGCGGCGGCGAGGGAGTGCATCCCAGCAGCTTTCGCACTGACAGCTTCAGCTCGGGTGTCTTCAGCGGTGGCAAGTTCTCCGCGGTATCCCTCATGTCCTTGATCTTGGCCGTGACGGAGAGATCCTCTGGCTGCAGACGACCCTCCGGCGACGGCGGCGACTCTTCGGCGCCCCCGCTGCTCGCTTCGATACCAGCGGCCGTCTCTTGCGCGCCTTCGCGTGCCGACGAGCCTTCATCTAAACAGGATTTCGCTTTGTACTCTCTGAAACGCGCGAAGGGATTGCGAGGTACACGCGCGATCACGCGTTAGATCCGCGGCGGACACATCCGGCGGCGGAGTTAGGTTGACTCGTAAGTGAATCATCGTTATGTTTTTGTGCTAAAAAAATCATATCTAACCATAATCGCATAAATGAAAGAATTCTCCATAACACAGCAGTATCATATTTGTAATATAGCAGAGATATCACAGTAATGTCCGCCAAAACGAACCACGGTAATATTACAGTGACATTATATTCCCTTGCAAAAAAGTACTAGTAGCTGTGATAAATTAACCAGAGATAAATTTCTTAGCTTTTATTACTTATACGAAAGAAAAAACATGTTATTTTATACGTTCGCGTTCGTGATTTCTATTCTAACCGGAGGTCACCCATCCACAGTGTTTGCCGGTATTTAGATAAAATTATCTAAATAATCATCCAGATGAATCTAGACGGAAGAAATATATATTCATCTTTATCCAGATGAATCTGAAATCATCCAAGGCTGTATATTAATACGCCGGGGCACCGAGGTATGTGCGATCTAACGTAACTTCCTATCCGGTGACATCGATCGCACGTACGAATCAACCTGATAGGATTCGAGAAATCTTCCCTCTCGACTTCGACCGACGATCTCTCCGGCCCGCACAATACACACATACATCGTCGATGCGCGACGCGTCAACCGGAGCGAGGGGGATGATCGCGCGCACTTCGTGAGCACAGCATCATCGGCAAGCCGGGAGGAAAAATCGCGCACGTACGCCGATCAGCGTCGTCGGCGGCATTGCCAATGAGATGCGCGACACTGAGGGTGATCCTGCCACCGGCGATCCTGCAGCCGGCGGCCTCGCCGCCGGTCGCCACACTCGCAGCCACGTTGTTGTCGAAACTCTTTGAGACGAACTGGGCGAGCTGCTCCATCCTCGCCTTCTCGTAGGGACTCTCGCGCGTGACCTCGGCACCGACGGCTGCCGTCCGGAGACGTCCCACGCTCGTCGGCGCGTAGGTGGTCTCACGCTCGTCATCGTCGCGACGCCGACGCCACGCGTCGCCCGAGGACGCCATTCGGCCGCCAGCCAATGCCTGACCCGATGGGCGTGATGGTACCCGCCTATCCGGCCACCCCCGTATCTCTCTTCGGTGCGTCCCTTTTAAAAGCAGGCGTTCTCTCCCCCCGAACTGACGCTCATTAGCATTCGCGCCCGCTCGCGGAAACTACCCATCGCTGGCCGGCCCGGTATTGGAGTGGATAGGGTGCTTTCGCCGACCACACCACCCATCTCTCTCCCCTCCCGTTCCCCTCGCGGGCTGCTGTTTACCTGAAGACGGATAGAGAGAGGCCGCGGTAATTAATCCGACGTTTTTTGCGGCCGATCCTCAGCTGGTGCCAGATTTCGGCCCAAGGCTGAGGTAACGGAGAAACCGAGCCGAGCACAAATTTTCTTCGGATGAAGGTGCCTCTGAAATTTCCAGGTGACCTTTGTTATATATATACAAAATGGTCGTTTAATTTTTGGATATTGTTTTCGACTTCTCGAAATTTGTTTTTGTTTTTGTATTTGTCTTATGTTGCTATGCGTTATAAATACACGAAAAATAGTTTTGTTTGAATTACCTGACGAGAAACAAATCATAAATGCGTTCTAATTGAAGGAGACAGAATTTCCGGAGACAAATAACTTCGTTATCATAAAACGGTTTTTACAAGCAGAAATTCTCCCTTCGACCATTCTTTTTTTCAACCAAAGTGCGTTTGGATCGTCAGGTAAATTCAACTAAACTTTATTCCCGTATACGTTGATCAAAACCCCAAGAATTGTTTTGAGTACTCTAGTATTTGACATCACTCACCTACTGAGTCTCACGAGTTCATGTAATTTGTCTTTTCCGTCATGTTCAGCTCCTATTTTTCCTTTTCGATATTCATATCTTGACCTTTCGACAGGATTACTCTTTCTCCGTATCTTTCTCTCTCTCCCTTTGTCTTCTTCTTCGGTAACTAGTGCAGGGGAACTCTCAAGGGCGTCGAAATGATGTACGCCGGTCCGACGTAAACTCGATTTCGCTCTTGCCGATCTCGATTTCTCGCGAGCGCAATTTATTGCGTTTGATAGAGTACGTCGCATTTGTCGTTGCATATGTCTCACTCGGATAAACTTAACTCTCGCAGAGGGACATATATCGCTCAGTTTCTTACTCTCTCTCTCTCTCTCTTACCTATCTACTCTATTTACTCGCTTGTTGACTCTCTTGGAAAAAAAGTTTATATCTAATTATATGTAACTGTATCAGTTGAAGAAATTTATCTGATAAATATTTCACTGTAAGAGACTGGATTATTAAATATGGATTCGAAATCTCTCCCCTACTTAAGAAACACCCTGCATATTTATTGACAATACTACAACAGCATAAAATTTGCCACCTCTTTGAATTATTTTTCCTCGTGCAATGTACCGATTGAAAGGTTGAGAATTAACGGGCGTTGTATGATGGTTGATCAACGGGAGACAGGAAAATTCTTAAATAGCGCGTATCAAATAATATTCGCGCTTCTCAATTGCCAGAAGATAAGAGCTGACGATGGGAAAACGAACGTGGACATCCTGCGCGAGTGATCAGGACACCCTCTCTTTGCGTCACTCCGACCGTAGAAGGAGAAGGAAAGTGACACAGCGCATATATATATGTAGAGAGAGAGAGAGAGAGAGAGAGAGAGAGAGTGAGAAAGAGCGAGAGAAGGGAGGGGGGGAATAGAGCGCATTGCATCGACGTGGGTAGCGGCGGGGAAGGAAGAGGGACGCGAAATGCGAGAGAGGGTGCGGCCTATAACGCAGGCAGACGGAGCCAATCAGGGCGCAATGCGATTACCTTAACGAGAAATCCGATTACTTATTCATTCGCCTAACTCGAAATCAGTTTAACTAATCGTTTAATTCGGTCGCTACCTACCGGGAGTCGCCCCACCGGATCTCCCCGGTCCCGGAGGAGAGAGAGTAGACGCGTCGTTGGCGGCGAATGGGGTGGTGCGGGTTTACGTGGTGTCCCCTTCAGGGCCGTACTCGAGAGATTCCAACACGCTGCGTAAATTTCCGCGGAACGGGACCCGCGAAAGAGTCCTCCGTAGTTCCTGTCACGAAAATTATCTATCTTTTGGAATAAATTTTTTATTTAAGATACGTATTCGTTAAAAAGTCTAACGATCGTACTTATCAATCGAAATATCAGTTTCTTCGGAGCATGCCAATGATGAAATTTCTTTGGGTGCAATGGAATTTATTAAACCCGAAGAAAGCCTTTTTCTCAGTGTAGGAACATATTTCCGTCGTCATTATTTGATTGAATTACGTTGATTGAAAAGAAACCATTCTCTCGATTACCGTTTTAAGCGGGACAACCGCTTTATCGACTCACCGAGTTGTCAGAGCGCTTCCCGGCTCTTAATCCGTCTCTGAATCGCGGTCCACCCTTCGCTTACGTACAACACACCACGCATACGCGTGCCCGAACATTCGCATGCGTACATGCTCGCCGAACGCTCGAGTGGTAGAAGCGGGGAATGGGAAGCGAAGGAGAGAGAGAGGTCTCATTCAATTCAATTACGTAATGAATTGTCGTGTCTTGAGTAAATACCCTTCCTCGCCGCGACTTGGTGGCGGAAAATCCAGGACGGTATCCCGGCATCCCCCTCTCTCTGCCTGATTTTGGCAGGAAGGGAGAAGCGGATGGCGGTTTAGGTGAACCGAATCAATCTGGCACCCGCTGTACGAAATCTCTTCCGCTGCACCCTCCGTATGTGTGTTTGTACACGCAAATCGGAATAGTGATGGGCTCAAGACACATCGATCGTCTTGGATATACCGAGAAAAGCTAAAAACACGTTAAATATTACTCGAAGTCAGAAACGCTTGCGAATCTTTGACAAATTTTTCATTTCTTGAAACACGTGTTATAAAATCTTAGAATCTCATGAAATTTAATAAAGTAATTTTTTCTTGAATGGAAACGTGAAATCTTATAAAAATGTGCATTTTTTGTATTTCTTCCATCGTGATAAAAATAAAGATGATCTATTTATTCATCTAAATGATTATTTAGATAATTTTATTTAAATACCGGCAAACAATGTCTGTAGCACAATAAAGTATTACTTTTTTAATGCACTGACAGTCTCGAAGATGAGATACGATAATTGTTGTCACAATCTTAGGTATTCCTTTGGACATTTGAATATTTAAACCCAAGTGATTTTAAGAACGCGCTTACACCGTCATTCGAAATTTCCGATCTACGTAATAGCGCGAGATCTCCTTTCATCTCATTTACAGGAGTGATATCAGTAATTCCGACATTTCCGTCGAATTAACGGGCCGTTCTTGACTGTCGGCAATTTGTCACACGACTATCGGAAACGGAACGCTGATCAAAGGAGCTAAATCGACATTAATGGCAATCGAGTTAGCGCGGCAGATCGAGACGAATGTTGCTGACCGCTTCGGAGCTTTAATTGCTGCAACTTTGTGCCTGGGCAATTTAATTGCCTGATTACGTGTGCGTAATTTCTACGAAAATGTTCGTTGAGAATCTCTCTGCATCCTTATAGAAATGTATTACTGCTAAACTAGCGATTAATCATTTATTTTGAATATTTAAAATATTGTTGTTAGTAATTCGTTATGATTAAATTATAGAGCGCGCAGTGATCTTAAATATTTCAATGCTAAAGTGTTATTACCTTATCATTAATATGAATGTTGAAATACTATAACTCTATAAGTACATATTCTTAAAATATTATATGAATATTATTCAATATTAAAATAATATTCCTATAATATTGTAAGAATGTAATATTTTTTAATATTATAGGAATGTTCTATTGATGTTATATGTCCACTTTATATAATATTTTTAATATGCTATACAAATATTTTTAGAACGTTAAAAAAAAGTATAAAATAATGATAATATGGAAAAATATATATAAATAAAATATATGTACATATATATAATTTTTTCAGTATTAAACGTATTTTTACACAAAATTCTTTCGACTTTATTTATATAATAAAACAATATAAAATACGGTATCGATATATAGGGAAATAATTTGTGATTGGTCAATTTCTTAAGGCTTAAGCCTGTTTTATGATACGTCATATGTCGTTATCAGATGTCGAACGCAATCGATCGTCCAATGAAGAGAACTCACTTTCGAAAAGTAACTCATTGGACCATCGTTCCGACATCCGACTCCGGCATACGGTATTATTGTAGAACAGGCTTAAAGCATCTATCAAGTTTATTGGTTACCGCGCGAACTTCCGCCGCGCGACAAGCGTTGCCGCGTCCTGTGGGCAGAAGCCATAACACGTGGCTTTTGTTGCGGAGCAATAATGAGGAGCAAAATAATTCAGCATATGTGAGCATATTCGCTGAATTACTGACAGTCACCGGATTACAAAACACACGTCATGTTTCACGTTGGAAAATTGAAGTCACTACTTTATACGTAAGCGAAATCTAATGTTTATCTAGTTAATTCTTCTCTGTGTGTGTTTGACGTATTAATTGATCTCAATTGCAGTCAGCTAACCTTGTATGCTCGGAATTCATATCAGTCGACATCGCCAGTCAACAGGATCAGCAAAGTTGGTTCTTACAGATCCCTGAACATCGCTCAATATTATAGTATAATATTATTCTTATTCTAATATAAGTTTCATTATAGATTCTGATAGCGAATAGAGGAGAGATAGCATGTCGTATAATGAAAACAGCAAAGAAGCTTGGTGTAAGAACAGTAGCTGTCTACAGTGAAGCGGACAGGAATTCTATGCATGTAGAGGAAGCTGACGAGGCTTACTACATCGGCCCTGCATTGTCCAGTGAAAGTTACTTGAGACAAGACAAGATTATATTAGTTGCTAAACAGGCAAAGTGCCAGGCGATACATCCAGGATATGGGTTTCTCTCAGAAAATACAGAGTTTGCGAAATTATGCGAGAAAGAGGACATGATATTCATCGGTCCGCCAGCTAGTGCTATCAGGGATATGGGTATCAAAAATACATCGAAAGCTATTATGACAAAGGCTGGAGTTCCTATCATAGAAGGTATATAATTATCTCTTTGATTGAATTTAAATAATATAAGGATAATGAATATACTTCTTTTTTTTTTAATTATTGTATAAATTTAATTTATAAGGATATCATGGAAATGATCAGAGTAACGCAATGTTATTGGCGGAGGCCAAAAAAATTGGCTTTCCGTTGATGATCAAAGCCGTGCGCGGTGGTGGTGGCAAAGGTATGAGAATCGCCCCGAAGGAGTCTGATTTCATTGAGGCGTTGGAGTCTGCGAGAACAGAATCGCAAAAAGCATTCGGGGATTCGGCGGTGCTTCTTGAAAAATACGTTGCCGAACCTAGACACGTCGAAGTACAGATCTTTGCTGACAAGCATGGAAATGCGGTTTATTTGTTTGAAAGGGATTGCTCCGTTCAGAGACGACATCAGAAAGTGATCGAGGAAGCACCGGCTGTATACATTTTCTTTTTTTCATTATTATTGTCATGGCTATATACAGAAAGATAGGAAATTGCTATTATTGCATTATGCTTGACGTGTTTTTCAGCCTGGAATCTCCTGGAAGGTCAGACAAGAGATAGGCGAAGCAGCTGTGCGTGCGGCTAAAGCCGTAGGATATGTGGGCGCCGGGACAGTGGAGTTTATAATGGATCGGAACGATCACAGTTTTTACTTCATGGAGATGAACACGCGTCTGCAGGTGGAACATCCAGTTACCGAAGCGATCACCGGCTTGGATCTGGTTGAGTGGCAGTTGAGAGTAGCAAGTGGCGAGGAACTACCATTGAAACAAGAGGAGATACATCTCAATGGTCATGCATTTGAGGCGAGAATTTATGCAGAGGTAATGATCTATCGTACAATACTACTGTATATATCTTGGCGTTATATCTATTGTACAGGGTGAAGCATTTAAATATCTCGAAAAATATGCATCCTATGATAAAAGCTATTCTAGGTGAAATTTGTTTCGAAGGGAGACGGGGTTACCTTTTATTATAGATGGCGCTATCGTCGGTGAGATTAACTTTGTTTTTATTTTTTTTTATTTATGCATAACATGCACTTTTTTCTTCTTTTTGAAAAATGTTTCAGACAAAGGTTACTTTGTTTCTGGCGCAGAATCATAATATCCAATAAAAACTAGGGGTTCTCATTTAAAGGAACAAAGTTGAGTCGGCTTTTTTCAGTTCTCGAGATATTTAAATGCCTCACCCTGTATATAGATATATCGTCTGTGTTTCGTACTGAACAAATACATTGTCGTGATATCACAGAATCCAAGGAATGGTTTCTTACCAGGAGCCGGTCAACTTGTCTACTTGAGACCTCCTCAAGCTATGAACAGCCGAATCAGAATCGAAACTGGTGTACGACAAAACGACGAAGTGTCTGTGCATTACGATCCGATGATAGCAAAACTAGTGGTTTCAGGAAAAGACAGGAGCGAAGCTCTTAGTATACTTAGATCGCAGCTCAGCAAGTACAATGTAAGTGATATAAGTAAGCGAATTTGCAAAATGTGAATATTTGTTGCTGATATTTCATTGAGAATATAGACTAATTTGTGCACCTATAATTAATGTTAAACATTTATTTCTATTTTTAAGTAAATTTTCGTCTTTATTATTTGCTTTTACAGATAGCCGGCCTAGATACGAATATTGAGTTCATCAAGGACCTTTGCGTTCATCCGAAATTTCGAAGCGGCGAAGTACACACGGGTTTCATTGAGGAACATTTCGAGCAACTGTTCCCCGAGTTACATGTATCCAACGAAATCTTGATTCAAGGTGCCCTCGCCTCGATACTGTACGAAGACATGGACTCTCTAAATGTATCTGTAGAAACAAAGGATCCCTTCAGCCCTTTCTCCGTAGAAACCGGGCTTAGATTGAATCACTCACTTAAGCATACGTTTCATTTCGACATCGGGAAGGAGAATAATACAATAGAGGTAAAATACGTTGAACCAGACGTATACATGATGCGAGTCAATAAATTAGGACCTTGGAGAAAAGTGAGCGGAACTATGAAGAAGAGGGAAGATGACGCTTTAGAATTGTCTGCGGAAATCGACGGGGTTATCGGTAAAGCACGGATGGTCAAGCTTAACAATAAGCTGCACATATTTACCGAAGTAAATAATCATAATAATATTTCAAATAAAATATTTCTTATTAATATCATTAATAAAATTCAAATCTTTATAGACGAAAATGTAGATAAAAAAAGAAATAAGTAGTCTACTTGCAAGATTATCACACTTTCCTTGTAGCTTTGGAATATAATCTTTGTTATTTTACATACGGATTTAAGACAACTCGAAGATAAGTTCTTCGATGGTTTTCGTTCGCAGGATCGCGAATGGCAGCTAATTATTCCGACCCCGAAATTCGTGACTGCATTTGCTAGTCAAACGGAACAAAATCCGCACACAGCGTTAAGCCCAATGCCGGGTTTAGTTGACAAAATCTTTGTCAGCAAGGGAGATGCGGTGAAGAAAGGTGATTCGTTGCTGGTTATCGTCGCTATGAAAATGGAGGTAAATTATTTATGTGTTATTAATTTGGACGTAACAATATATGTATAATGCAACTAACGTTATTATATTCGCAGCATATTATAAAAGCGTCTGCAGATGGAATTGTCGAGGAAATGTTGTGCTCGATAGGCGATAACGTTGCAAAAAATAAGCTTCTTGTGAAACTAGCAGAAAATAAAACGTGATACATGCAGCGTATACAGAGAGCATTATATAGTTGGTAAAAAAGAACAAAACAATATATAATATGTAATTTTAATCATTTGATATTTTTCGACTTCTATATATGGATTTCCGATGTAGAGGAATTCTCAGTTTAACTTCCATGTTAAACTGAGTTCCGTACGAATATTTCAGTTCATTTATTCAAGGAGATATAACCTGGAACTGGAAAGACGCTGCATCAAGTCGGAGGTAAAACTAAATAATTTTTATAATTATTGTCTTACTGTGATCTCTGTACCTACACATTATTTGTATATTTCTATCAGCGAAGCATAGTGGATTATGAAATAAAGATTCTATATTTTTATATATTTCTGAATAAAATGAAAAAAATTTATATGTAGAGTTGAGATTTACACTGATCTGATCAATTACAAGGTTATTGGTTCATTTGATGCATAATAAATTTATTGGATTACAGCCTGTCACGGGACAACACAAACAAGTTCCGGCATGCAAAAGATGCAATGAAGAATGGTTCCACGTTGATGTTTGAGTTAGCTTCCCTAGGGATGAGATATACGATAGGCATAACCATCTATTACTATCATACTTGATGGCAAAATTATGAGGCAATATGTTTTATCAATTTACATTAAGATTATATTTACTTAAAGTTACAGTTATGTTAAATTACCAGGCAGTTGTAAAACTCGTTTGTTGCGCGGCAATCGGACACAGTCCAATCACAAGTCGCTGTTTCAAGGGACCCTAGGAATATCTCTAGGTTCACAGTGCTGTGATTAGCTATGTACAACTGCACCGCTCCCGATATTATCGCCATCAACTCAGCTCAGGGCAATAGTAGGCAGCATTGAGTTGTCACAAAGTATGATTGTATGATAGACCAGCAGAATGGTGCCTCGTATCGTATATTTCATCCCTAGGGAAACTAATTAAAATTTGGCCAATCAGAACAAGATTCAGTAAACTTGAGTTTAGTTAAACTCGCTCCGATTGGTAAAATTTCAATCCAACTTCAATTCTAATCGGGCCAAATGGCATGGATGGAAACATCCATAGATGGATTTCATTTTTCGGTACTAAAATTTCCTCCTCCCGGAGAAATTGCCGCTATCGGTGTATATCGGAACGCATCTGTTAAGCCCGTATCAGACTACGGATTGGGGATTGAGATTAAATTAAATTTGGCCAACCAGCACAAGGTTAATTGTACTCAGGTTTAGTTAGATTTCGTGAACTTCGCACTGATTGGTGAAATTTCAATTCAATCTCCAATTCATAGTCTGATTCGGGCTTCACCCAGGATCCGAGGGACTCCGCAATCATCATTGGTCATGATGCACGAATATCCAGACTTGATATCCCAGATGTTTCGGTGCTCTTCCTCTCTCCACGTCCGCATCGCGACGCTCGCGGTGAGCCTTCCAGTAGCGTCGGCCGGGTGCTGACGACTCGTGCTCGTCTCTGTCGACTCCCCCCTGCGCGCGATTCCCGAAATCCATCCGCTCCGCAAATAAAAGTGCGTCCGCGCGCGTCGCTCCGAGTAGCGCGAGATCAGAAACGGAGCGCGCGTCCATCGTATATACATAAGGATACATAAGGACGCGAAGAGGATCTTCCGCAGTGGATTCGGCGCGCGACGAGGCGACGACGTTTCTCTCTCTGCCGATTTCTTCGTCCCCCGTAACACAAGATGGCACAGTGTTGGTACGATTTCATCCTGTACATGTTGTGCGCATCAACGACGATGATTATGGTGAGTCCATTCGCGGCCGGGCTATATCCGATCGATACATTTCCCTCTCCGCGCAGTCTCGGAAACGACTCCGCTCCGATCCGTCGTTCGAGCGTTGTTTTGGACCGACGCTTCTCTCTCGACGATGTGGATCGAGACTTTTAAACATAATTACAGGACAATCAGACAAATTAATATCATTTCTATAAGCACGTAATATTGTTTAATATCAAGTAATATTCTGGACATATTCTTAGAATATTTGACGTAATATTATTGAATATTAAGTGATATTTCTGAAATAATAGACGGTTGTATGTCCATTCCTAATAATATTATAAAAAATAATATTATTTAATGTTGTTGTGATATATATTTTTTTTTTATTCAACTCTATGTATATGTATAATTTTGCTTCTTTTATTTCAAATGCATCGCAATACCGACTGTTTTATTAAATAAAGCCGAAAGAATTTTATGTAAAATACAAGAATATTATGCGAAGTGGACATATAACATCAATAGAACATTCCTATAATATTAAAAAATATTACACAACATTCTTAGAATATTATAGGTATATAAAATAAGAGCGTGTCGTTCTGCGCACGACTGTTACTCGCGATATCCCTTAGCGTTCATTCGAATGTGACGTTTTTGCTCCAATATTAATTTCCCGAGCGTTATCGAGCTCTCTCGATAACGGAAGAGGTGGCGACCCCACTGATCATTGTGTTTCTATTATTGTGATGTGGAATGAAAAATATAAGTAAAAAAAGGTCTTTCAATTCACAAAAATGAAGTTTGATGCGAACACTCATAATTGAGATTTCAAAGTAGGAATCTTCGATTGGGCGGGGAATCTGCTATGTTCACTTCGCTCGAGCCGCAGTTACGCCGAGCTCAGTTTCAATTTTGAAACGCGAGCGAGCGAGGCTACAACGCGCGTCTGTACGCTCGTGACCGAAATATCGATGATGACAGATCGGGAGTAAATTAAATGAATTTATGAGAGGAGAATTGTGCAGAGAAGTCTGAGAAACGGTGACAAGAGAGACGGGGAGAAAAAGAACGTACGAAACGCGATTTTCACTTCGATTGTTAGACATTTCAACGAATATGTATCTTAATCTTAAGTAAAAAAATTTGTTCAAAACGAAAGATAATTTTCTTACAAAGAAATTATTTATTTCATTTTACATATTTATCATAGCCAAATAATATTTTATTTGGTGAAGAGATATTATTTCAAATAACAGCGTTCTTTCTGTTGAATAATCGAGTTTTCTTGGATGAGACAATAAAATTTTTATTCAAACAAATAATATTTCATATAAATAT